CCCCGCGTGCGGGGGCTCCCCCGCCTCTGCCTGCGTTCGCTCCTGGGGGGCTGGTTGCCCCGGGGGGCAGGGAGGAAGGTCAGGCTCTGCCCGGGAGGGCTGCCCCACGGGGCAGGGGCTGGAGAGGGCACCCTGCTCGCAGGGGTCACGCCGTCCAAGTGGCTCCGGCCTCAGGAGGAGCGTCACCAGCCCTGTCTCATCCCAGACACCTAATCCAGGCCAAGGAGGGCCATAAAACCCACCCTTTGCAAACACAAGGCCTCCAGGTTCCTCGGTGTGTGGGACCAGCCCTAGCCCCATCAGGGACAGCTCCCTTCCCCCTTGCTGCAGGGGCACAGCAGAGGGAGGCTGCTGTGCCACTTGGCTTTCCCGGCACTTGGGGGAAATTGGGGCCAAGCCTGGATGAAAGGTGCCTAGGGCCAGGGGCTGGAAGGAGCTGGGGCCGTGGGAGGGAGGAAATCCTGCTGGATTAGAGCAGCTTTCCTGACGTCTCACCAGGGCTCGGTGCTGCCTGCTGAGCCAGCAGGATGGGGCCGAGGATGTTGGCGCTGCCCCGCTCGAGAGCAGAACGTTCTGGCACCCGTTTTGCAGGCAAGGGAACAGAGGGGTGACACTGTGGGTCACATGTAGGTCCTGCCCTGAGGAATGGCTGCAGATGTCCACAGGAAGAAAGGCTGGGAAGTGCCCAACGGGTCCCTGGCACCGGGAGATGGGCAGCACACGGAGCGGTCAGAGAGCCCCACACCGGGGCTGGCACAGGGGACGGAGCCAGGTACGGGGCAGAGCTTGCTGTGGGGGTAAGCGAGGGGGAAAAAAAAAAAAAAGGTAGCTCCTCATGTGGTCTGGGCCCTCCACAGCCCTGCAGGCAGGGGGAGACTGGCCCTCTGGTGACTCCCCACCAGCAGGACCCACACCCCTGGGTGCCACAGGATGGGGAGAGGAGGGCGGGTCCCTCCCTGCAACCCCCTGTCCCTTTTCCACCCTCTGTCTGCCCACCACCTCAGCGTGGGGGACAGGCAGATGGACACTGGATGGCCCATTGTTCCCAGGGGCGGGCCCGGAGGGGGCCATGTTCGTGGACCCCCCCCCCC